TTGATATAAGAAAATGTTACGTTTGATCTCAGAAAAATTGGAAGGTTGACTGAAGAGGTTAATTAAGCGCAGAGGTAAAAAAGTACGACTGTAAATTGTGAACTTAGTTAAAAGTGAAATACTCGTCTTTATAGAGGGGTCAATTAAATTTTCTATGACAACCATAGAGAATAAAATATTTCCTGAAAACATTCATTTCGAAAAGAGTTGATTTTAATTTTCGACACAATCGCAGTAATTTATTCTTGGAGCTCGCACAGTCTCGTTAAACGTTACAGGTATACTTGTACACGAACAATTTCTCCGGTGAATTTCAGTAGTCGAAAGAGGGGAAAAATGTCGAGTAACCCTCTCGCAAAAGGACATACTTTGAAACGTGTAAGAGGCAATAGGTGGTTAGAAGGAGAGGGGTGAAAGGGGGTTAAATGTATGTAAGGGGTCCTGTACGAGGGTTTCAGCTCGCATGCCTCCCTCGTTTCTTGACATAAATTAGCATAACTCGGAATCGCGTTCGATTAAACCGCGTTCCGTGCGCACCCTCGACTTTTTACAGCCTCTATGATACTTTACACGCTTCAATAACCTTCCACCTACGATACAAATTACCATCGAGAAAAACGATGTGTGGCGGTAAAGTCGACCAACTTTTACATATTAATCAGGTTTAATGTGTCAAGAATAACCGCTGTGAACTGCAACCCTCTATTGCACCCTCTTCTAAATTAAAAAGAAACTTACATTCAAAAATATGTCTAAAATATATACACCCTTAATTCGTAATTGACATTTCTATACAGCATACCAGCATCGTTAAGCTAATATTCTTCAGCAAACATAGGACACCATTACGCGTAATTTATAATGGCCGTTCCGTCATTTACCGTTACATCGCCTTAATTAAAGTTAACGAACGACTTGCGTAACGCTGGCAATATTAATTGGCAATTTCATGATTTTTAATAACGACCGTTATCAACGCTTCCACGGACAATTCGAACACTTTATCTTGCGCGATCGTAAAAAGAAACTCTCGCCGGAAAGTGTATCTGCGTTAACGATCGTTAAACTCGTTTAAGGCACGAGTTGCTGTAAACATCGGTGGTCGACTGCAACCGTACGATAAAAACGGAGGATATCGGTCGTTAAGGATTAACGACGCGGTTCTCAGCAGTTTGCAAATACCGCGGGATGGGCTTCTTAGAGTTTTCTCGGCCGCAATTGCTTGTTTCCTGCGAACCATCCACTTTATGTGCTCTTTGAAGCTTCTGTAACATTATCGCGTTCTCCATCGCAGAACAAACATCTACGATTTTCTATGTACTTTTCACTTTACGAAATACTTAACCTTTATCGGTTTATGTGTGACTTCACACTTCCTAACCTCAATTTCAAGATAGACTCGACATTATGCAACGCCATTTTGAAATCGGTTAAAATGTTTAAGTCTGATGTTTCTTTCAAATAATTTGATTTGGCAGATTTGCATGTTGTTTCACACTGTTGTTATTGTTGTTATAATAGAACCAAGCAGACTCATTTTATTTTTTCTCATAAAAAATATAAGAATCGATGTGTTCAATCAGAAAGTCAAAAAAGGTACACTATTGAAATTGTCAGACACATTGAACAAACAAACTTAAAATTAATTTACAGACTCATTTTACTTTTTCTCATAAAAAAATATAAGAATTGATGTGTTCAATCAGAAAGTCAAAAAAGGCAAAAAAGGTACACTATTGAAATTGTCAGATACATTGAACAAACAAACTTAAAATTAATTTACAGACTCATTTTATTTTTTCTCATAAAAAATATAAGAATTGATGTGTTCAATTAAAAGGTCAAACAAAGTAGAAAAGATACATTACTGAAATTGTCAGACACATTGAACAAACAAACTTAAAACTAATTCACAGACTCATTTTACTTGTTCTCATAAAAAACACAAGACTTGGTGTGTTCAATCAGAGAGTCAAACAAAGTAAAAAAGATACATTATTGAAATTGTCAGAAACATTGAACAAACAAACTCAAAATTAATTCAGATAAATAAATTTATTTACTACCTCACTAATATAGAAGTACAGTATATTTGTTACTGTTAATTTTTATTTGATTACAAAATTCTTACACGTTAACGTCCTTTACGGTATTTACAAAGCGACTGACTACGCACACGGTTCAGGACAGATATATACGCGTTTTCTCTCACACACTCATACAAACAGAAAAAGACGTATCGACAATGACTCATCCTTCTAACATGCGGGAATGCTATTAGCATGTATTGCTATATTTTAACATCCCCCCTCAATACATGCTTACTTTTTATTTAATTGTAAGGTGGGAATTTTTCATACTTTTTCATACCCGTATTGACAGTGAGATGCAATATTTTATAGAGAACCTCTAAATCTATTTTAAAAATGAAAGTAGTTGTTGATAAATGAAAGAACAATGAAGCATTGTATTTTTATTCGTTGATAAATATAATGCGAGGTACAAGTAAGTTAAGGAAGTTCAACAGCAGTATAATCAACTGTCGAAATGCAGAATCAAGCTTTTACGATAAAACGCTGGTCGGATTTCCACGCAAGCTGCTAATGCAGCGCAAAGGTCATTGTGCCACGGGAACAATGCGCGAAATGCAAACTGTGAAAACAATATTCCAAGCTTCAATCGATCGTAGCGAAGTAACTTTTGCAAATTTTTGAACCACCCCCTGCTGCACAAAGCCCATACGTTCGCATTATGCCGTCGGCGTGTTCTCCATCGGCCGACTGGATTCCCGGTTATATCCGTGTAAACGACCTTCGCGATAATTCCGACTAAACGGTCGAATAAATTCGACTGAAAACGCTTGCCCTCGGCTGTTATCGATTGCCGACGCCATGTTACAATTCTATTGAAGCATACCTACTCGAAACTCGCGCCGATAATGACTTATTGTTAGCCAACAATGCGATCTATTTCAGATTAAGGGAAAATCTAACGAGAAACACGTAGGTTTGGCAGGAACTCGGGGGTAAACTACGAAATTTACAGTTTGAGAGATATTAGGAGCAAGGTTTTGAATGACATAATCTTTTGGGTTGGAAGATTTTTAAATTTATAATTTTTAGCCTTGACAGATCTATTAAGTTTTTCAATTAATATTCTCTAATTTTTGAATTTTTAAATTTGGGACTTTTCACACTTCTAGGTTTTTATATTTTTAAAAGTTGAGATATGCAAAGTTCTAAATTACCAAAATTTCTAATTGTTGAATTCCAAATTTCTAAATTCCCAAATTTCTAAAATTCCAAATTCTCACACACCCAAATTTCTAAATCCCCAAATCTCTAAAATTTCAAATTCTCACAATCCCAAATTTCTAAAATGCCAAATTCTCACAATCCCAAATTTCTAATATGCCAAATTCTCACAATCCCAAATTTCTAAATCCCCAAATCTCTAAAATTTCAAATTCTCACAATTCCAAATTTCTAAATCCCCAAATCTCTAAAATGCCAAATTCTCACAATCCCAAATTTCTAAATCCCCAAATTCCTAAAATCCCAAATTTCTAAGTCCCCAAATCCTCGAATGCCAAAATTTCGACGACCCCGAATACTGAAATCCCTAAACTTTAAAATACGTAATTTTCACGCCCCAAATTCCAAATTTACCAAAGTCTAAAAATGTCTAAATTTCCAAAATCCTCAAATATTCCAATTCTTACCAAATTTCCCAAATCTCCAACAACTACAATATCTGAAGGCTTACAAAGTTTCTACAAATTCTAAAGAAAACACTCTTTGCATAACCTAACTATGTAATACGATAACGCAGCCAATGCGCTTCAACACGTGCAACTCGTTTGAAAGTCTTACAAGGTTTCTAGAGACGATTGAGTTTGCATGTCGCGTTAAAAAGGTTTCGACTACGTCTTTCTTTGCTGTCTATTTCATACTTCTTAGCAGTTGTGCAACGAACCCGTCCTTTGAACAGATGTGTCGCTTCTACGAGTTAGATGTTTGTTCGATTCGAATGTGACATGGAATAATTGAATTATAAGGGTAGAGTCCCGAGGGATGATTTGTTGATGGGTAATTTGTAGAGACACACAGGTGTTAAATGAGAATCGTAAGTTTTCTCAGAGGCTCATTTAATTGGATTTCATCGTGAAGTTTATTAAGATTGTGTACGAAGTTGGGAGTTAGGAAGTAGGTTGTTTATTTGCAACAGGGTTATGTTGTAACGTAAGTTATAACAGAGTTTGACATGGGTTAAGATGCTATATAAACTAATCCTTTTAAGAATGATATTTTTTGAGGTTAGGAGAACAATTTGTCTGTTGTTCTTGTGTGAGTACATTTTTATTTATTTTATGATGATTGTTATATAAGATGATTTCTAAAAGGAATGATGTTGTGCAAGGAAGAAATGTTCATGTAGGTGTATTAAACTTAAAATTGAATGTACATGTAATGTGTTACTATTCTTGAAGAGGTTAAAACTTGGTTAAGTTACGATATAAATTAAAACCTGCTAGGTTACCACATAAATGACATCAAATAAAAGAAGTACATACAGGTGTAAAAACCTTGATAATTATTTATTTTAGGAAATAACTTGCAACGATATCGATGAAACATGTTGAAAACATTTCTGACGATCATTAAAATTAAAAAAATTAAAAATAGACTTAACCTAAATAATTATTACTTTAAATATTTCAAAAAAAGATGTAACCCATTAAGTCAATGTTACTCTAAATAAATTAACTCAGTAACTAATAAATAGATAAATGAATTAAATCGGAGATAGAACCAGTAATCTTCATGCATATTTACCAGGTACCAAACAAACAAAATTCGTGTGCAAACTATACTTCTAATAAAATTATCAAAATACCTAAACCTAGCTAAACAAGTCTAAAATAACCCATGGGCGGTTAATGCGACTATAAATAAATAAATTAAAAAGAAAGTCTCAGAATAAAGAAATTATTAACTCACCGAAACCAGCAGAGCGGCAGCTCGCCGAGAAAAGTGTCTGGAGTCGTCGTTCCACCTGGCTTCGAAGATAGACCTGAAACCCAAAGAAACTCAGTAAATTTCTAGCAGCTATTTTGGAAGCAATGAGTCGCACCGCAACCGAATTTAATTCCGTCGATCCCGGTTTCCCGAAGGATCGAACTCAGCGGTCCCCCATAATCCATTGTAAACAGTTAATCCGATTCCGTTGTTTTACGGCCCAGCATTGGATATCGTCTTTGTCTAACGATGATAGCCAGAGCTCTCTATTAACGCAAATCTTCCCGTTACAAATCCCATTTTACGCTCGCATGTAAAGGACCAGCGATATTCGTATTTCACGTTCCTCCATGCATATGGTCGCGATTTTGTACCGCAATTTAAAGCGCACTTTATTTCAACGTCTGTGAGAATAATTCTTGATGCTCGATTCTTGGTCGATTTTAACGTCCACTCGAAACGATCGTTACGAATGCAGTCGGTTTATAATTAATTGCTACAAATATTTGAAAAACGCGATGGTGCAATCGTGGGGATGTTTCTATCGGAAAATGAATTACACGCGGAAATATATTTGATGGAAAAAGTGTCTCTTAATGGACGATGGAAATTATGGAAGGTGGAGGAAATACGAATAGTAAGTACAAATTTATTGAGGGGAAATTTTTAAGTTCTTTATAGTCGATGGATGACTCACTGTTCGTTTTAACCCATCACTACTTTAATGAGACTCATTCTTTAGATGCGATCAAGTTTCCTCAAAATTTTAATACTCTTCAATTTGGAGTTCAATTATAATTTTCATAGTCAACGATTGCATAATACCAAATTGACATAACATTTTAAATGCTTTTATCTGTTTTAATATTGTGACGCAATTAGTTACTGACTGACGCACCTAACAAATGAACCACAGTGCAAATACCTTAATACAACTATTTTAAATAAATCCAAATACAAAATAATTTAAATATAATCTAAATATAATTTTAAGAATGAGTTGTTCAAACATAGCGAAATAAACGAAGACTGTTTCTTAATTTTCCTTAAATCAGTTTCTAGGTTATATCAGTTTCTTCGCACAGATACAATTATTCATCTAAAACGTTCTCTGTCCAAAATTCTAAATCCAGATACAATTTCCGTGATTCAGACGGGAAGGCTATAATCTAAATCAGAGGACACAGTATGATCCTTCCGGGATAAAATGTACCCCCCAGGTAGTTATAAAGGAACCAGGAAGATTTGAGACGAGAGCACGGGACAGATCGTTACTTCTTATTTCGGGATTTATCGGCGGCAGGCACGTGTCGCGTTTCCAAATTGCTGTACGCGCTTAAACGCTTACCTCTTGATTGAATGCCAGGAACGGCAAAGGTCGTAAAGAAGGTTTAGAGGCAAAACAGTAATGCCCGTCTCCTTCGCCAGCATCGACAACGCTCCGAGACACACGCTGTTCCATACGTAAGCCGTCTGCTGTCTGAAACCATAATAAAATTTTATTCGTTTAGCATTGCTCGAATTAGTTATGTGGTTTAGTAGTATTATTAGTTACTATTAGTACTATTAGTTACTCAAATTTATGTTGTATAAGTTGTGAGAGTAATTCAATTTTCAGTGAATTATTTTAGTATGACTGAATTTATTCAATTGGAAATAGGAATCAAATTTCTGAGCTGTTGAAGTGTCTTTAAAGAACACAGTACATCTAACTTCAATTAATACCTAACTAGTATATCGAACTTTAATTAATACCCTATTAAGTATATTGACATCGGGTCTAAATTGTCCCAGCTCTAACTTTAACTGACGTAAACCAAATAAAGCATATCACTCTTCTCACAAATGATTAAAAATCACCTACTAATAATAGCAGCCCATAATCCTAACCTAACACCAAACGTTACCTAACCCTAAAAATTCCCAAAAGAACAGATTGAGACGTTAACCTAAAAAATAGCTGCGACAACACCGTATAGGTATAACGTGACCCGAAAAAATAAGTATAATTATAATTATATAGAATTACAGGTGAAAGTATACACAAGTCCTGTGAATAATGTTTCGAGCGTACCATAAGAGAAGTATAATGTATAGCATTCGGTAAAAACATAAATTTCTTTCCCTCGTAATGGGCAGCGAAGCTTTGCAAAGGGGAAAACATACCGATAATTTTTTTTCTTGCCTCGTCATGCACGAAATACATTAGATCGAGATAAAATACAAGGCTGAGAATGATCGCTGACTAAGCAACGTAATGTATCAAACAGAAGCAGAGATTACTTTCAGAAATTCTTCACCTACTTTTTTCTATGCTTTCGAATTATGGTATAATAATTTTTTTTAATGATAAGAAAAATGATTACTTAACAACAAAAATAATTATTGTCACCATATGATATGTTATCATATTCGATTCAAAACTTTGTAAGGGCAATGTGTTTTAAATTTAAATAGAAAGAAAATGTTTAAAAATTGTGACTTTCAAAAGTGGAACACATTTTGAAAAATATAAATTATATTGTAAACAGCTGTTTGTTTGATAACATTTAAGTTTAATTTTTGATAAACCTTTTGAATTTATAACCTTCATATGTAACTTTTCAGAGGATGGTTGTTTTCATTAATTATGCACACGGTTTGATTTATTCATTGCGAAATGAATCAACTATGTAAACACGATATCTCACGGACGAAACATACTATTATTAACAATGACTGTTATTATTATTAACAGAAATAACAGTAGAAAACCTGTTTTGCTATAAGTTGTTCCACGTTCACAACTTCTGACAAGGATAAAAAAGAAAAAAATGACGACGAACGCAGACGAATTTCAGACGCGGTTAAATTTGGATTTTCTCCGAGTTCCATTAAAAATTCACTTACCAGTGAACCGAGGTGCTATTCTGAATGTAATCAGCATTGAAAACGTTTAAATTGAAAGAGCTCTCACAGAGTTAATAACGCGTATCGGGTAAAGGTTAACGAGGATCATTATAACGTATAATAAACTTGACCCATCTTTGTATCAGGCGGCGAGAAGAATAGTTACTTTCGCACCTCTCATCATATATCTAAATTGCATTCCATTATACTGGATAATTGCGGAAAGTGGGTAAAATATAGGTGGAAAAGGCGACGAGCTTTGGGATTTTCGTAGCAACGGAAAAATAATGAGACCCCGAAGGAGTCGTTTCGCGTTAAATCGCTGCGTTGAATCAAAATTTGACCCGATGACCCTTGTTGATTTTACGCAATCTGATGGACAAAGTCCATTCGTTAAAAATTATTATTTGAAATTTTTGAAAATTAGGTACTTTCAAATTGTAAAGTTTTAGGTCTCTGTATTTTCATATTATTAGATTCTGGGATATCTACTTCTTTAAGTACCTTGATACCTAACTTATTAGGTTTCTATATCAGTAGGTTACTAGATCCTTAGATTTCTAGATGCTTAGGTTACTAGATTGTCAGATTCCTAGATCTCAAGGTTCATAATTTTCTACAATGTCAAATCTCTATAACCAAATCCAGCACGTCCTCATATGACACCTCATATGTCCACATGTGACATCTTGAAATTCCCATATGCAAGAATCACATACGTGTAAAAATCTGCACACTTCACAATTACTACATATCCATATCCATGTGAAATCTCTATAACCAAATCCAATATGTCCTCATATGAAACCTCATATGTCCACATATGATATCTTGAAATCCCCATATGGACATCACTCAATAAGTGATGCCCAGATTGTTAAGAATCACATGTGTTCAACTCTCCAACTTCTCTATTGCTACACATCCACATCCTTACATTCTCAAAATCCAAAATGTCCATACAACCTATATCCCTAAACAATTGACCAATAATCTTGCTACCATTGCAAAACAACAAAAAGCATGAACTAAATTATCGATCGACATCAAAACGAGCGTCAATATTTAACTCGTAGTAAAGTGTCAAACTCACACGGTTTGCAGCGCCTAACATGTTTTCTTCAAAAACGTAACAACTAACGTTTCTTTCATAACCGCGCTTAGTCTCGCTCCGACAGAGAGTCTCAACTTTCCCCAACAAGTTAAATTGTTTATTAAGAAACTTTCCGGGATGTCGTTTTAACGTGACAGTTCAGGAAAGTTTCTGAGCAGGATAAAAATATGAGACGCATCGTCGATAACAGGGACGATTCTCTTCTCATTTCTATCGTATCCGATACTCGACTATTATTTCCGCCACTCTAAATTGAATTAGAATGTCTTTGACGCGAATTTAGAGAAGTATAATTCAATTTTTTAAAATGTACCGATAACAATTGTACCGGTAGATACCTTCCGCTCTTTTCTTCCTAGCCAGTTAAGTAACTATTTAAATTCCCTTTCGCGTTTACACTTTCGCGGTAATTAAACCACAATTTTCCCCGTTCAACTACCTCGAATTCGTTTTAGCTCCCTCGTTGAAAAAGGAAATCATTAACCTTTAAGAACCAGAAGGTTCAACGTTACTTCCTGCTTCCGCGAATTAAACCGGAATATGCGATGAGAAAGCTGTATAACCATATTTTCCTTTCCGTTTATGCGCATACACCGCAATTTTTCTGTATGATATCTCCTGTAGTAAAAAATTCGTAGACTTGGTTATATAAATTGAGTTTTTTCTGTAAACAGGTAGGTTCTTGTTGTATTACTACCTTTACAAATGGCGTTCTTCCATTATACACCTGAAAATTCAGGGAAACAACAATGTATACAGATCAAGTTTTTAACCAAACTAACCTATATTCATAAACTCAAATCCCGCTGGTACGTCTCTGGCTGTAATAAGAGTTTACTGTATAAATTGTGTCAAAAGTTTCTATCAACTTATGTAGGAATTAAGATTTCTTTGAGAAGTTACATGTGGTTAATTTTATTTTTATTTCGAATAACAGGGTTGGTACATAAAAATTATTATTTTAATTAACAATGTATTCTCTCTACGAATTGTAACATTTTGAAAATTATCTACAATTTACAAATGATATACACACTATAAACGTGGATCTGAAAATTCTCCAAAACAGCGACGTACAAAGATCAGGTTACATAACCTATATTCAGCTCAAATACTTTCCACTGTTACAACTCCCTTTGTGACATTATAATAAGAGTTCTCTGCACGTACAAATTCTGTCAAAAGTTTCTATCAACTTATGTATAAATTAATTAGACTCCTAAAATACATAGCTTCCATCAGAAGTTACCTAATTTAATTCCATTTCTAAGTATTACCCTACTGAAATTACTATCTGTACATTACTCAATATGTCCTGTCTATCAATTCTAACTTCTCGAATATTATCTACAACTCCCCAATGACCAGCAAAAACTTACTTCGCAACTTTCAAAAAAAAATAAATAGTCACACAGACCGAAATCAGAAAGAGGGCTCCTATACGCGTGATTTTGTTAAGGCCACAGCGTCTCCGCAAAATTTGTTACGAAGTTACAGATGCAAGTCGAAGAAGTCTAAGCCGAGGGGAAGTTTCCTACTTTGTGAGAGTTCGAATTCGCACAGTTTCAAGTTCGGTCGTCACGGTTCAGAACGTGGTTCCGAACTTTCGAAGTTACAAGCGGATCAAGTTCGATCAGAGTTCAAACGCATCTGATTATACAAGTCGGTCTATGGTTTCTAGTTTCGAGACCTTTTTCGAACATCTTGCAAACACTAATTCTTATAAGATTTTTCGGTTTTTATCGTTTTTGTGAGACTCAAGGTTTTATCAATTTTTAGGACACTCAAGGTTTTTATAATTTTTATGAGATTCACGATTTTGTTAATTTTTAGGAGACTCAAGGTTTTGTTAATTTTTAGGAAACTCGAGGTTTTTATCATTTTTATGAGACTTGAGGTTTTTATCATTTTTATGAGACTCAAGGTTTTTGTAATTCTGATGAGATTCAAGGTGTTTATAATTTTTATGAGTCTTGAGGTTTTTATAATTTTTATGAAATTCAAAGCTTTTATAATCTTTATGAGACTCGAGGTTTTTATAATTTTTATGAGGCTCAAGCTTTTTATAATTTTTATGAGACACGAGGTTTTATTCATACGATTGAATAAGGAGGGTGAAGACTATTTTTCCAATATACATTGGTATATTTATTTATTTCTCTAATAGATATTATACATATAGATGAGCAATACGTTATGATGTATACATGTAAATTAGCACTTTAACAATTTCTGGAATGTAAAATAATTCATCTGAAAATTATTTTAGGGGTGTCTGTACAGTCAGTCAGTACTTTTGGAAGACTTAAATAAACTAATGATTTTATTTATATAACTGCATATTGTATATTAAAAAACTTTAATAATTTTTGCAAATTTAAAACCATGTACATGAAACATATTTTAGGGTTGCTTCACTGAATCAGTAGTTGTCAACATTTTTAACCAGCATTTTAAACAAACGATCAATATATACA